GTGAGCACACAAGCCTCTCGGGCTGGTGGGTGCCGGTCGGCACCGCTCCTCTGTGAGGGAATCTCTCCGCTTTGCCCTCCGCACCCCCGTGGCTGCGCTCTCCCCCGCGGCCCCGAAGCTCCCCGCCCCGCCTCCCGCTGTCTCCGCCGGTGAAGGGGCTTCCTAGTGTGTGGAGACCTTTCCTCCTTCACAGCTGCCTCCCACTGGTGCAGGTGCCGTCCCTATTCTTTTGTCTCTGTTTTTAATTAATTTTTTCTTTTGCCCTACCCAGATACGTGGGGACTTTCTTGCCTTTTGGGAGGTCTGAGGTCTTCTGCCAGCATTCAGTAGGTGTTCTGTAGGAGTTGTTCCACATGTACATGTATTTCTGGTGTATCTGTGGGGAGGAAGGTGATCCTCCGCGTCTTACTCCTCCGCCATCTTTCCCCATCATCCAGGACTGTGTTCTTAATTAGGTTATTAGAGATTCTTTTTCCTGCTTTTGAAGAGAACAAGAACAGTACATCGTGTGTGTGTGTGTGTGTGTGTGTGTATGTGTGTGTTTAATCTCCAGGCCACAGCCCCATCTTTACTGTAAAAGTTTTCCCCAACTTTTTATTTTGGAAAACTTGCCAGAATAGTACAACAAACACCCGTAAAGCTTTCACCTGGATTCGCCAAGTGTTAACAGTTACTTGACTTGCTTTATCTTTCTCTGTGTGTACACGCAGTCAACTGCTTTTTTTTCCAGCAGTTTGAGGTAGTTGTCAACATCATGACACTTCACCTTTAAATATTACAGCATATATTTTTAAAAAGGACATTATCCTTCCCGACCATAAATAATGATCACCCTTAAGAAATTTAGCATTGGGACTTCCCTGGTGGCACAGTGGTTAAGAATCCGCCTGCCAATGCAAGGGACACGGGTTCGAGCCCTGGTCCTGGAAGATCCCACATGCCGCGGAGCAACTAAGCCCGCGAGCCACAACTACTGAGCCCGTGTGCCTAGAGCCTGTGCTCCGCAACGAGAAGAAGTCCGCGCACTGCAACAGAGAATAGCCCCAGCTCACCACAACTAGAGAAAGCCCGCGCAGCAACGAAGACCCAACGCCGCCAGAATTTAAAAATAAATAAATAAGTTTATCTTTTAAAAAAAGAAAGAAATTTAGCATTGATACAATCCTATTATCTAATACACATTCCAAAGTCAGGTAGCCCTGGTCATTCCAATAGTGTCCTTTATAGCTTAACTTTTTTTCAGTCCAGTTTCCAGTTCATGATCACACACTGTCTTCTTTCAGTCCTGGTTCCAGTTCATGATCACACACTGTCTTCTTTCATCTGGAATGGTTCCTGAGTCTTTTTTTCTTTCTCTCATGACATGGACATGTCTGAAGAGGTCAGCCCAGTTTTGTATACGGCCCCTCACTGGTTAGATTCAGTGAAACATTTTTGGCGCAAACGTGACAGGGGTGATGTGTTCTTCTCAGGGCACCATTTCAGGATGCCCATGAGGTCACTTTTTGCCTTTGGCTCAGTGTTCAGTTTGATCACTTAGGATCTCAGCCCCGTTTTTTGAAATGGAAAGTTATCTCGGCCCTCCTTTCTGACTTCCCGGAGAGATCACCTTCTAGAGGGAATAATAGCACATCTGATCTCACTTTTTTTTGCCCCCAGTTACTATTGTTATACTTGTGATTTCACTCCAACAGCACTGCTTTTTGATAAGTAAAAATGAATAATTAAGCTCTCTACCCCACACTTTTTCATTAGGGTTGGGTAGGTTCTTTCTCTGGTTCTAACACACACTGACTGTACGTCCACGTCTTCATCTACCTGCCTTCTCCACCTAGTAGGGTCTGAGCACATCAGACAAGACACAACACAGAGCAGCAGGAACCTGGGAAGTGAATCCCAGGTTCGTGTGTAGACACTGGTCTGTTCTTCAGACCCCTCTGCTCTCTCATCTTTGGCCAAGGCAGTGCTTTCGGATCGGGTGGGGCTCCTGGGCCCTGGCTGTTTCAGATCTGAGACAAGCCCATAGAAGATTTATTTCCAGTAAACCCTTTGGCGGGCACAGCCGCAGGGAGTGGGGTGAAGCCCTGGTACCACTGCAGCTGCCCCCCACCCCATCCCCAGAGGCCTCAGCTTTGCCTTTGCAGGGAGCATCTCAGCTTCTGCTCCCCTCCTGGAAACCCCTGGCTAAGTTTTCCTCGGCCTCTGAGCTAGGACTCACCACTTTGGTACTTTCAAAAGTTAAAAACAAGAGAGAGATGGAGATTTGGGGTCTGGGAGGGAGGCATCCTTGCACTTGAAGGTTTGGCTGGCGACAGCAATAGCATTTCTTGAGTTCAGCGCTTTCCTGCAACACAGGAACGTGTGTTTTTGTTAGTGTTTTCCTTCCACTCCTGCAAGGCATCTCTCCACTTACCTGGGGTGCACTTTCTTGCTTTTGGGGCCTGACGAGTAGGGAACTTTGTCTCTGTTCCCTGCTGGATTTCCATTTGGACTCTCTTGTGTGACTCAGGATTTATCCACCTCCCCCAGCTAATGGCCACAGCAGGAAGCCACGAACCGAGGCAGATGGTTGGGGCCTTCCTTTCAGACCAGGGATCCCAGCTCTCAAAGTACTTTCTGACTTAGCGACAGGTTACACCCCCATCTCTGTCGGTTTCCCTCCTGCCTCCACTTTAAACAGTTTCTCGGATTTAGCCCAAGAATCTGGAGAATGTTTTACAGAGCATTCTGTTGCCGTTTGCCTTTTGTTGTTGTTGTCTTTGGTTCTGGTTTCTGAGGTAACAGAAATAACTTTGGGATATATATGATGGGATCCCCCTGAGTGATTCTGGGCAAATCACTTAACACATTCCAGGGCCCAGTTCCCTCTGGTGGGAGGGGAGGTGACGTTTGACAAAACACTCTTCAGGGCTTCCTTGCAGTTCGCTGCTGTGATAGTTTTATTCTATGACCCGAAGATTGAAGCCAGTTCCCTTCTCTCAGATGGAATTTTGGCCGAGTCTGGGGAAGCATTTCATTCCTCTGGTTTTAGAAATGTCACTTTCACACAGATCGAGGGTGACCAAGTTCTCCTAACGTGAATGGCAAGAGTGATGTCTTTTTCTTGCATCCTTCTCTAACCAGTACTTTGGGTTTGTGCTGTACCGAACAACACTTCCTCAAGACTGCAGCGACCCAACACCCCTCTCTTCGCCCTTCAATGGCGTCCACGATCGGGCCTACGTCTCTGTGGATGGGGTAAGAATTCTCTCTGTACTTGTGGGTCTGCCCCCACGGGAGAGGGGGTTTGTGGGTTGCACTTGGTATCATGACAGTCAAGGCCGTTGCTGCCTTTCCATCCTCAGGCTCTACCCCTCCTCGTGATGCCCCTTAGCTCTGCCCCTTGCTTGCTGATGTAGCCTCACCTGTGCTCCATCTACCTGAGATACACCCCCTCACCCATCCGAACCGCAGGGCTGTGCTTAAGGCCCCACCTCCTCGGAAAGCTTCCTGGTTGCCCCAAGTCCAGGGCCATCCCCTCTGACTGACCATGTGTGTCACCCATGTCTTCTTTGCTCCTGGAGGGCAGGGTCCGTTTTGTACACCCCAGATGACTCATTTGACTTTGGGTCTTCATTACATGAGAAATTATATTCTGTAGGATTGTTCGTGATAATCAGAGCTAAAAGACACAAAGGCTTTGGTTTTGTAGCAAAGTAAAGATAACATTTTAGGATTTCCCTTCCTCTCACTGAAACAATCATGTGAAAAAAAACACATGAAGAGATTTTTCCTAACCAAGAAAACTTGTTCAGAAAATTTTTAATGAAAATATTTCCATTCTGTTGTCATTAGCGGATTTAATTTCAGTGGCAGCAAGTGTCTAAGACATTATGTGTATGCTGGCAGAAGTTTTTTCTAAAGTTCCAATCTGGGGGTTGTCTTAGTGAATTATGGTCATTTTTTTTTTAATCTTGCATTAAAAAAAACTAGGAATATGTTGCTACTAAAATACCTGTTGTTTCCCCTCATTTTATTATTTCATCTTTGTGGTTAATGCATCATATCAGGTATTTTGAAGTGAGGCTATTCCACCTAACTCACTGATTTTATCTCATTTGTCTGATTTTGTCTCCTCTCTCCATGTTGTTTAGAAGCTGCTTTTTGTGACTGCCTTTTTGCTGTGAGAACGTAAATAGGTTCCTCTATTAGGAATCTTCCCCTGGAATTTTTGCCTCTATTCCCTTTCTGTTAAAAATTGATACACAGGCTACCCAACACTCTGTTATAACCTATATGGGAAAAGAATATGAAAAAGAATACATACGTATGTATGTATAACTGAACCACTTTGCTATACACCGAAAATGAACACAATATTGTAAATCAACTACACCCCAATATAAAATTAAAATTTAATTAAAAAAATTAAAAATAAAGGACTTTCCTGGTGGTCCAGTGGTTAGGACTCCAAGCTTCCACTGCAGGGGGCGCAGGTTTGATCCCTGGTCAGGGAACCAAGATCCCGCATGCCGTGCAGTGGGGCCAAAAAATAAAAAAACGAAAAATAAGATAAAAATAAAAAATAATAATAAATACAAAATTTAAAAATAAAAATAAAAATAGATGCACAACAAAACATCCCAGAGCTAAGGAAACCAACCTTGCCCCTTCCTTGCTGGGAGCTGAGTCTGCTGACCTTCTTGTGTAGAAAGCAGTGATTTCAGGAACGTGGGCATCTGGCCAGTAACTTGGGCAAAGGAGCCATCAGAGCATTTCCTCCCAAGCCTGGTGACACTTCCAGGCAGGAAAATGAGTGCTGAATTGACTGAGTGGGCTGCCTCTCTGCTGACCCTCCCACCCTAGTTAATTCTCATTTGGCATTGAACCGATAGGTCCCCCACGGAGTCCTTGAGCGAAATATTGTGACCACCCTGAACATAACAGGGAAAGCTGGAGCCACCCTGGACCTCCTGGTGGAGAACATGGGGCGTGTGAACTACGGCAATTCTATCAACGATTTTAAGGTAGGCGTAGCTTCCCTGTTAGGAGTGAGGTTCAAAGGTTGACCTGTGCCTAAGCCACTAGGGAAGTTTCTGTAAATCCATTTAAAAACTCTCCCACATACACTCTTTC